TGCGCGCTGAGGGCCCGGCTGCTGAGCCATGGCCGCGGGCGCCGGCGGGCCTTGTCCAGGTCCACCGGCTGCACCTTCCTGCCGTGGGAGCACAGGTACGACTGGCCGTCCTCCAGCTCCTCCAGGCGCGTGATGCTGTGCCTTCCCCGAGGGGTGCTGATGTTCCTCACCCCGAACGGCAGGGGCACCTTCCCCGACAAGTTATCCAGCAAAGCATCGAACGTCTTGAAAGAGCGGGGGTTCACCACCACCCGGACGCCCGCAAACTGCGGGTCTCCGCTCTTGTAGAAGCTGATCCTTTTGGCCACGACAGGCTGAGCGACGCGCAGCTGGCGAGAGGAAGGAGCCTGACCTTCGGAAGAAGTCCGACGGATCATGGCAAAGCTAGTGGAGAGCGTTCCGCTCATGTTGATCGAGACCTGGAGGCGGAAGAAAATTGTTCATCTTCACAGCAACGCACCACGTGCGAAAGCCAGCTGGTTATAGTTGTAGGTACCCAGGCTCTTCCTAGGATTTCATTCATTCATCTATACATTCATTATACCACCTATTTTGAAAGGTAGGTTTCAAGGGCTTACAATGAAGTCACAAAAGAAACAATTAAATAAGGGTAGATATAATTGAAAGATAAAAACAATCTAAAGACAATTATAAAAGCCTAGGTAGGTAAATTATATACACCCATGGAAAACTATACAAGCCGTTAAAAATGGCTGTAGTTCTGTATTGGCACAGAAAACTGATCATGAGCTATTACTAAGTGAAAAGGCAGCTTACAGAATACACACACTATGCCATTGCCAATGTATATAATATTTATTACACTAGCAGAAGAAAGTCCGAAGTATACACAGCCCAGCGTTGATGGTGGTTATCACTGATGGCAGAGCTATGGATAATATTTGTGTTTTTCATACATTATCAAATTTTGTGGATCTTTAACAAGTATTATTGAACAATTTTCTAAAAAATAACGAAGGAGACACAAATCAGAAACCATCCAATGAGAAGAGTAAAGAGAGTTTTGTAATTGATCGATTTAGTTCTGCATGTCCTGGCAGTCAGGGAAAAGGGAGGAAACAGAAAAAGTTTATAAAAGTTCAGATTGTCTGTTGGATGGAATCAAATGAGTTCATCTGGAGGAAACTATTTCCTGACATTAAATTCTAGAAGCAATGTGTCACATATATCCTTAAATAAGGGCCATATTCAGATGGTTCCATTACAGATTGTAGAAAATGCAGGTAAATTATCTAGCACACTAGTAGGCCTACTTTAGGAAACACTGCACTAAGCAAGTATTTTTGGAATGAATGACAGCATTGCTGTGGGCCGCTGAAAATGGTGCAGTCTGGTTACTGCTCCCACTAGTGGTTCTAAAATGAAAACTTCAGGAGGGAATTTAAGAGCCATTTTCAGCCAGTCGCTGAGGTGTCCCACTTCCTAACTGAAACCGGAGTCTGATTAACAAGTGAGAAGCTAGTGGGAGGGTTTATCCGATACCTAGCTGCTTTTCCATTTGTAGCGTATTGTGGCTATTTTCTGTTGTTTTAAATCAATGTAATTATCAGTGTCTTTTGACAGAGTAAGAGCGCCCTGCAGCCTTGAAGACAAACTAAACAAGCTAAATGAATGTGATCAGTGTTAAGAGATGAAAAAGGCATATCTGTCATTATAAATCAGCTATAAATCTGGCCCAAATCACCTACTTAAATGTTTGCAAGCTGTTATCTAAGACACTTCATTTATCTCCAATACAATTTGCGAATCTTATTTATATATAAAGAAAATGCATTCAAAGATCAGCTGAGAAATTAGATGTGTCTCCTCTTCTCTCTCCCCAAGCAGTTTAAAGTAATTATAATACTTAAGACAATAAAGCTGCTGTAGCAGGCATGCGCATCAGGAGTTGGGGAATCCAGCTTTGCGGTGGAGTCAGCAAAACCTCAGTCTCTCCTCACCCTCGGCTGATAAGCTGTGGTCTGACCTGATAAGCTGTGCCCCACCGCTGAGTCTCAGGCCCTCACCAACTGTTAAGAGGGAGGAAATCCTTCAGTGTTTAAACAAAAGACTTCAGAACTCAGTAACTCCGGTTACTTTCTAGGCTGGTTTTCTTACATATTTATTTGAGAATTTTTTACATGGATAGTGTTTGAGACACGTTTTTCACCTAATTTTGGAAAGTTGTATTTATCTATATGTAAATGCATAGTGAGGCTTTTAATTTCAGTAGTTTCCTGGATCTCACTAGGTGGAGAGCTGCTGACCTAGTGGTCCTTTTGGGAACCCAGTTATGTAAGCTGATACGCTAAGGGTTTTGTTTTGAGGTTTTTTCTGTTGGTGGTGGTGGTTTTTGTTTGTTTTTGGCTAAAATAAGAAAAAGGAGGTTTTGTGCTGGAGCCAAAAAGGAGGCTATGGAAGATAGGGACAGTTGAAGGGAAGAAATGGCCCCCATTGTCGCTATCCCACTGCTGTCCAGCCCTGATGACTGGTTTTGAGCCTGATGCATGAAGAGAAGACGCTGGAGTTACCACATCCTGGGAAGATGCCCTGTGCCCCGCCGTGGAGGAGCATCTGCAGAGAAACCACCTGCAGCAGGGTGGTTGCCAGGCACCTTGATGCGGAGGCTGTAGCAAAAACAAAACAAAGATGCAGTTCCTGTGATCCTAGTTGCATGTAAGAGGATCCCTGGAAGCTCCTGGACGTCACCAGGGAAGTTCTGGAGCACGTACTGAGATTTTGCGTACGTGTGGGTGAGGTTTAAGAGCCTATGATAAGTGAGGTGGGCGTTGCATGTGTAACAGAAGATGGTGAAGATTCAACATTATTGTTGAATAAAAGGATCTCTGTGGATGCAGTGCCCAGAATCATCACTGGGAGAGAGAGTGCAAACTAGATCCATTCCAGAGGGAGTGTTTCATCTTTGCCTTGACGTCATGTGTGTCTCCTACAGTGTTGGTGGGAAATTCACAGAGTAATTCAGTAGCAGAATTGAGGAAGAGTCAGGGTACCTTGAAAATGTCAAGGAGAGATGCTGAGGGTGAGAAGAGACGGTGGTTTCCAGAGGAAAGCTTACATAAAGCTGAGATGCCAGAGGCAAAGAGTGGCGGGGTTGCCCTCCAGGAAGAAGATGAGGGTTAGCGCAGCATCTGCCAGTGCAGTGGACAGGCCAGCGACGTGGTCGGTCGGTCTTGACAGTAGTGTCCCCTTTTGTGAAACAGCTCCCAGCCCTTCACAGCTTTTAGCTACCCTTAGTTGTGCACCTTTCTTAGCCAACTTCAAAGACTAATCAGAACTTGGATGGAAGTTCTGAAATGTGTCTTTGCATACATTTTAGATAATAAGGTTTATTCTGAGCCCTCTGACCCTGGGGCAAGGCAGCGGTGTACTTAGGGGCCATCTAAGGAACAAAGTGCCTAGCGTGGTCTAATTCTCCCAGCAGGTTATGCTGGGGGAAGAGAAGTGGAGGTGGAAAGAGGGAACAAGAGGAAACTAGACTCTGAAGGCCCTCCACTTGCCCCAACACTGACTTAAAACTTCATACCTCCAGCTCAGATTATATTGAAAATCTGCTTCTACTGAGTTGACAGCTGGCTACCAATACCTTCCCCTCTTTTCTGCCTGCTCTCCATTGCTCAGTCAGACCACGGAGCTGTCTTGAATACTTGTAATGCTTTTTAAGATGAAGCAGATTTTTTTCAACGCCCTTGGTTTCACTAGGTTCAACCATCGTTATGTTTATGTGTGCCGTTACTGCTCTCAGCTGTCTGTGCTGCTCTGAGCTAAATAGTTGCCTCTACCGAGAGGGCTGTGTCTTCCCTCCACTACTCACTTGACGAAACAGATGACAGATTTACAGGATGAAGGGGTATCATTTCACTAATTACATGGTAGGAATTCAAGCAATTCAGAAAGAATGAAGTAGAAAACAAAAAAACAGAACTGGTATATTCGTAAAGCTGGTTCTGTGGCAATTCAGAGATCTGCTATTGCACGAAAAGTTAGTTCATTTCACGGATCCTGACTCTGTGGATTGGGCCTGGGGTGGGGGTTCAGAGAGGAAGTACACCAGCCCTTCCCCATGGCAGTCACAGCACTGTTGAATTACAGGCAGTTGCCTTCTTTAATATACTGCAGAGATTCTCTAATGAGCAAATAGTGCTTTTATGATGAGGAAAAAAAATTTACTTATATTTGAATATATTAGCACTTCTCGATTTCCTGATACTGAAGCTCCCTCATACTTCAGTGTCAGCATACTGTGAGGGTTTCTGGCATATGTGTGTAAAGATAATAATTATTAGCAATATTTATTCTTTTTCTAATGGTTAAAGATGAAACACAAATACATAGTCTAGATATAAAAGGAAAGTAAAGTCCAACTAGCTGAAATAGATTATTTTCAAAAATAAAAACCGTAAAGTTTTGTACTTACCAGAACTTGAAACTTCCCTTATAAAGAAAAGATGGTTAAGTTGTTTGAATAATTCCTGTAAATGTTGCTGGATGCGTAACCTCGTTTCGTGCAAAGAAACTAATGTCTTCGGATTTATTCTTAGTGTATACACTCAGGGATTGAGGACAGCCAATTAATTTAATCCACGGTGATGCTAATCTCCAGAGAGAATTCACCTAAAGGGAACCACAGCAGGAAGCTCTCCTACGTGCTTCTGTTCGCTGAACATCCAACCACGACCATCTGCATTTTTAAACAGCTTTATTGAGGTGTAATTTACATGATACAAAATTAACCCATTTAAAGTGGATTCAATGAGATAATCACAGAGTTGTGCAACCATCACCATGATGTAATTTTAGAACACTTTTGAGCACTCCAATTTTAGAATGCCCCAGAAACTTTGTGCCCATCCCACCCCCCACACACCGGGGGTGGATTCCTACCCAAGCAGGAATCTCTTTCTATCTCTACGGAGTTGCCTGTTCTGGACGTTTTATATGAATGGAATCCTACAATATGTGGTCTTTTGTGACTGGCTTCTTTCACTTACCATAGTGTTCGAGGTTCATCCATGTAATAATATGTATCAGTACTTCATTCCCTATTACTGCCAGATAGTAATCTATTTTATGGATTTTTAAAATTTATTTTATTTATTCATTCACCAGTTGAAGCGCATTTGGTTTGTTTCCAGTTTGGGGTTCTTATGGATAATACTTCTATGAACATTTGTGTACAGGTCTTCAGTGGTATCATTTCTTTTTTTTTTCCTTCCAGTTTTATTGATATATAATTAAGATACAGCACTGTATAAGTTTAAGGTGTACAGGAAAAGGGAGAAACTGCCTACCCTAGCCAAACACCACGGGAAAAAACAGCCCACCCCACCCCCCTCTGCCTTACCAAGCCTTGACTACTACCATTTAGCTGCAGTGTGGCATCTCTCCCTTCCCCATTTGGGGATGATACAAGTGAAGACCAAGCAGGGAACCAGCACTTCCATTCTCACCTGGCAGTGACAAAGCCACTGCTCCCCTCCCTGCTGGCGTCAGAGGAGGCTCAGAAGAAAGCCAGAGCTTTCAC